ATAAAATATTCTGGAAAAATAATTGTAATACTATAAATAGCTACATAATATTTTAATTTTTTTCATTTTAAGATTATTTCTGTTATACATTTTAAAATCGCATGCAAATTGTTTATGCAGATTATACACAAGTCGGACTTTATTTGGAAAACAATAGGAACGATCGAAAAATTTACCGGATAAAATAATTCATATATTAATCTAACTCAATTTGAAATGATTGAAAGAATGAATTTTCGTTATAGCTGCAAGGATACATATACTTCGGCTTTCTGAAACTGGCTTTATTTTTTTTAAAAGAATATAACTGAATAGTGCTTTGCATAAGTGGGGAGTTAAATTACTCACCCATTGACGAACCTTGTGTAAATAAAAACGATCCCATTAGGAATACTATTACTCCAACAACAAATACAGCGGCCATAATAACGAGATAGGCGTCGAGTCCAGCAATTTTGAATGGTACTGGAGGAGCAGGTTCCGGAGGTCCCTGAGGACAGGAAAGGTCACAGTCCGTACATGAGCAGGCAGGAAGTTTCTATAAAAAAATGTAGAAATAAAATGTGAATATTGTTAAAAAGAAAAATGAAAACTTACGTTAACGCCTTGGTTGCAGGGAACGGTTGTTACGTTTAAAGGCGTAAATTCTTTGGTGTTATATTTGGGCTCATGCTGAATGTAGGTTATTTGAAAAGGAACATATGGGCTACTAGCGTCGCCCATAAAATTAAACCATTTTGTAGGATTACAGCGAGATGCTGAATAAGATCCGCACATTAAATCAAATGCTAATTGACCTGTTTGTGGTACAGAAACCTATAAAAAGAATATATTAATAAAAAAATACATTTATTCTTATAAATCAAGACATACCTGAGAGCATGATTTGTAAGTCTTGTTGATATATTCTGTTGATACATGCAAATCCACCGAGGAGATGTAAACAACATCTAAAATAAACAATGCATAATAAATTATGTACCTGATAAAATTTATCTGATATAAAATACTTTAAAATGTTTTGAGCACTTAAGTATTAACATGATTTTAAAACCCTGTTTGTTACAATTGCAAAACAGCACTTCATTTATAGGGACATAAAAAGCTTATTTTAAATTATTCCAAACAAATCAGATCCGGGCTTAAGGTTAGTATACTTGTCTCACGAGGTCCCATGAACATTTAACATTTCCCAGGTACATTTAATATGGTTCTCCCTTTTTCAAGCACTTTTTTTTCTAGCATGGACTTGACTTTGATTTAAATAAATATAGTGAATACATAAAAATAATATTGAACTATCACCTTCTTTATTCTTTTCCGTGGCCACTACCTTCATGAATTCAGATTGTTTTGGTGAGCAAGTGAACTGGCAGATGTGGCGAACCAAGTTTTCCATGCAGGATGGACATCTGTCTAAGAAATTACCGGCCAGCTCCACATTTTTATTTAAAAGTTCTACCTATAAATAATGTGAGCAGTATGAATTACAAATGGCTTGACTGCAAAACTGTTATTACTCATACCTGTTGCTTGTCGCAGCAAAATTTATTTTCACTGTTCTCCAGTAAAAACCCACATCGTCGTTTCAGCAACTCCAATCCGTCTTGAGGCATTTCTTTGGCTGTTCCATTGTAAGGACAGTTTTGACTGTGCTTATATATATTTGTGTTGCATACGCCATACCAAATGCAGTCCTAAAATAATTTATGTATTTACATGTTTATATTTAATAATATATTCAATAGTATTTGTGAGTTTTATTGAAAAATTTATATTCCGATTGCACTTAGACTCTCAAATACCTTTTTAAAATTAAAATATCGGTTCGTAAAGTAATAAAGGCATTACCACCTTGGCCGTTTTTTCATTTATTTTTTAATTAGCTTGCATCTGTTTTGACTCGTTCACGCGTTTTTAAGTTCTAAAGTTGATGACGTATAATTTGCAGCAGCTATCTATTTTTCTGGATGCTGCGATAGGTTGATTTTCGTAGTGAGCATAGTATTTACATTTTACATTTTTTTTGCACAACATTTCAAGAATAGTGAGTTAAAATTTTAGATTGATCCGTGTAAAACTTTTGAAGTTATGGGCAGTTGAACGGGCTTAAGTTACACCGCAAGCCACCTTTATTTCTAGGTGCTGCCGGGGACTGCCTCACTCACTTTTCAATATTTTTGTATGCAAATTTTCACACATTGTTTAAATGTTGTATTATCACATGGCAAAACAAAAATTAGACTGAGACTATCTGTATCGTCAATAAAAATTGGAATACGCAGATCATCTTCAAGCATAAGGTCCTAAACCATATAAAATAAAAGTTAAATGTTAGTTACCTGTTTTGATGATTGAATTAACGTTAAGAGTACAGTGGCAATGAGGATGTGAAATCCAAAAGCCGTACTCCTGAGTTGGGTTCTTGAACTCATCCTGTCAAAATCGCATATCTGTAATCACAAAATTTTAAAAAGACATGGGTTTGGTAAATTTCACTACATGACTGTGGATCATATAAAGCCGCAGATTTAAAAATCTGCTACGATTGTCGCATTACAAGAAATTATATAATGTGTAAAATACATTTGTTTGCTTTAAGGAACAAAATGAATATACTAAGCAAAAATATTTCACTGCAGCGGACCAATAAGAAATTTGTATAAAAAAAATTTTATTTTTTCTTACAAAAAATATATACATTTTTCGTTACAAAATTTGATGTCAAAACTTTTACTAAGAAATGTGCGACCGTCAAGACTTTCTTACCTCGTTAAGAGGTTAACGTGTGAAAGCTTTATCAAATGGAATTCAATTCGGGAAACTTCAGACTCCAGGTAAACGTTCATGTAAATGTGTCTGATGGCCAGAAGAATTTTTCGAACGCATTTAATAAACATTTATTCTTGCAACCGATACAAAACAAATCTGTGTAATCAAGTAAGTTAAAACACTTGGAACTCGGAATTCGAAAAATAAATGTTCAAGCAGACATGGCAGATGCCCCTTAGATGGGAAAATTGCTTAATAATACTATTGCTTACATACAACTTTAATGATAAACTGTTTTTTTTTTGCCACACTTCAAAGTCCATTCAGTTGAATTGGTTTTAAACCAATCAAACAATGTGGACATCATACGGATGGCTGGGTTATTCGTAATTGCCCTCCACACCCATTAAATCATACTCCAATAATTAACCAAATATATAAAAATAAAAGAAATTTTTTTTTTTAAATTTTATTCATTTTTTTTTGTTAAAATTTAATGGTATTTTCGAATGAAAAATGTTAGTATAATTTTTGAATGGACTCTTGAGTTATTGTTATGCTACTGCAATACCTAAGTATTTTGGGAAGACTTTAAAACTATAGAATTGTTTCCGAAGAAACTGACGGACATATGTATGTAGCTAAATAGGTCTAGTCTCCTGGTGATGCTGATCAAGAATATGCATACATTATAGGATCAAATTTACTATGTTTGAAACTTAAAAAATAGTACTTTCTGTGTTATTCTGCAGTGTTCGAGTTTATCGTTAAAAAATATGACATAAATGGATGCAATGGGAAGGACAGATAAGAAGTAATGAAAAGGCAGAATAAATTTCTTTTGAACTCTTAGCATAAAAAATAAAAAGCGAAACCCCTAAATTCATATTCAAACCATTTGATACTGATTAATGTGCACCTATCGACGGTTAACTAGGTAACCAGAAAAGGCAGAAATGTCAAGGGAACCAGTAAATTGCGGCCTTTGACATTGATACGTTAAATTTCGCGCTAAAACTCATTGTCGGTAACTGGCTGTCTGTGGCTGTTGTGAAAGTGATGATGCAACTAGTTGCCTGGTTATTATGGATGGGGTAAATTCCATTATGTTTTTATATTAGTTCAGTTGATGGTGCAGTCGCAAACTTCTTTGGAAATCGTACACTGCCTCGGTTGCTTTTTTTCCACCGTCACATGCAAATTTACTAACCGTAAGTCGGGAATGAAAAATCAGAAAAGGAAATTTTCTGCTGAATGGACCCAATGTTTTATTTATTTGTGCTGTATCTTATTGCGAAGCGGATGTCATTGATTCCTGAACAATCTCTTGCACAAGTAATCCATGAGGACTATCAGTAGCCCCATGAAGGGTACGCAATATAGATATGTATGTACACAATGCTATCACTTCCACTTCCAGCGACGGTATAAATCGTTAATTGTAAACATTAGTATTGCGCCGAACCAATAAAAATGTTTTCTTTGTTCTCCTTATTCGTGCACAAGCATACCTGTGTGCGTGCGTGCGTTTCTATGAAGTCACCTTAGATGCGTTCTCTATTTAATTGAATTATGCCGTTATGCTCAAAGCCCGCACTAAAATTATATTTTTTACAACATTTGATGCCAACACTTTTTGGAAAGTGAATATATTCGAATATACAAGTACGTTAACTCGTGAGTCACTCTTATACCCTTGTCAATAAGCCAAAATCGGAGCTACTAACCCTCGGTACCAAAACAAGAGAGAGTGAAAACTAACTGAAATATACAATTAAATGTAAACACTCTCCCTGACTGCTTATCAGTGTTATTGAGAAAACAATCGATTGTAATCGATAAGCGCCGTTTACGAATGCTAATTGAAACGTTAGAAAGGAACACTCGAAATATATTTTAAATTATAATAACAATCAAACAAAAATAACTTCCAAATTAAGACTTAATTAAATAATTTACCGAGCAGTGGATGTGAGTGGTGGGCTAATAAATATTCAATAGTTTATACAACTCATTTTACTTTTTTGCCATGTTCAATTTACAAAAGAAAGAAAGATTCGGTTAAATAATATATGTATATATATTTTAATAGTTGCTGAAAAATTCTGATACAAGTCCAAGAATCTACAATTTTTTAGCAAAGCTCAAAGCCTATGCTCCTATCGTTCCATATTCGACGCCAATTCCACCCTATCGAAATACTGACCGACCTTCGATATATTGTTTATTTGTTTCTCATCGCGGGCCATAACTAACTATCGAGCATTTCTACTTGTCATCATTCAGCTCTGCGGCATTTAATTTAAAAGTCATGGTAATGTGTTTATTGCAAATTATTTAGTTTTGTAACAAACTTACCGTGCTTATTTCAGTTTCGCAACCAATATGATAGCGATGTTACGGTGTGGAGTCCGCAAGGGCGCCTGCATCAGGTGGAGTATGCAATGGAGGCCGTGAAGCTCGGAACCGCAACTGTAGGCCTGAAAAATAGGGAAACTGCAGTGCTTGTTGCCCTGTGCAAGCCGACATCGGAGCTGTCGGCCTCCCAGCGTAAGATAATCCCCATTGATGATCACCTGGGTATATCAATCGCTGGAATTACGGCAGATGCCCGTGTGCTTAGCCGGTACTTGCGATCTGAGTGCCTGAACTATAAGCATTCGTACGACTCCACCTATCCGGTGTCCCGGCTGATTACAAACCTGGGAAACAAAATGCAGACCACCACTCAGCGCTACGATCGCCGTCCGTATGGAGTGGGTCTACTGGTGGCCGGCTACGACGAGAACGGGCCACACGTCTTTCAGGTCACGCCATCTGCGACCTTTTACAATTGCAAAGCAAATTCAATTGGATCGCGCTCGCAAAGTGCACGCACCTATTTGGGCAAGAATCTGGACACGTTTTTGGACTGCTCCAATGATGATATCATCTGCCACGGCATACTGGCTATTCTCGGATCCCTGCCCACAGATGAGCACCAGAGCAAAGAAAATACAGCTCAGTTTGTAAGTTTACTTAATAATTAAATGTGTACAAAAACTAATTCCATGCTGTCTGTTTCAGAATATCACTGTGGCTATCGTCGGCAAAAATCAGCCATTTAAAATTCTTTCAGAACAAGAAAACGAGAAATATCTAAGGATGGCCAAGGAAAAGGGAGCTCCTGCTGATCCACCCAGGAACGACGATGACGATGACCGCCCATCCACTTCAGACCAACCAGATGCGGGACCACGCGACCCAGAAGTCCTTGTTGCCACGGAGCAGCGCCCTTAGGTTCTTGTTTGAGAATAAAATCATCATAACCCTTAAAAAATGTAAGATGGAAGGATACAATAAAATTGTTCATGCATTTGCATAGATCTTAACACGGAAATAGTGTTGGTTGAAGGTGGAAAACTAATTATTTATAAGCCGTAAAGGAAATGGTTAAATAGTCGACATTTTTTTTCAAAATAAGTTCTTGTGGCGGCCTGTTTAAAAATTTCTTTTGGTATATTACTTAATGTCATGGTATATTACTGTGCTTTAATTTCGGTCACACTGTTTTCCTGAACTACTGCCAATGCCGGTATAAATATATCTTTTCTCAATAAAACAATATTAATTTAGTTTTGTGAATGACTAGTTACTATTTCGATTGATCATAATGATGATAAGAACCTATAGCTTCGACTTTACTTAAAGTATTCATATTAAAACTTATTTTTGATTAATTACATAACGAAACTCCTAACAAATCACCACCTTCAATAATCGCAAATTAAGTAAATAAACAGTTACAGAAGTGTTAAAGTTATCAAAACTGAATTGTTAATATTCCAAAAACGCCTTGTATATAAATAATTTATAATAATCAGCTCGTACTCGAAATGTTAACGTTTGGTTACATTTGGAAAATTTGTTTTTGATAGTTGAACCCTATAGTTGATCAACAGGTTGAGTACATGGGCTTTTTTCCCAGAAAACTTAACAGAATTATTTGTAATAACAAATCAATTGAGTTAAACTTAGTTCTTCAACTCTCATCAATTGGAAATGTGTTCTTTATTTCAGGCAACATGACTTTACCCGATCTTGTGTCCAGTCTGTCGTCGAATCCCTATTTTGGGGCTGGTTTCGGATTGTTTGGAGTGGGTGCTGCTGCTGCGATATTGCGAAAGGGTCTTCAGGGTGGATTAATCCTGTTCCGGCGACATTGTATGATTACTCTGGAGGTGCCATGCAGGGACAAATCCTATCAGTGGTTGTTGAAATGGATCACAATTAGAGGAGCTCGTAAAACACAGCACTTGAGCGTGGAGACGAACTTTGTGCAGAACGACAATGGAACGATTAAAACCAGCTATGACTTCATACCCAGCATCGGTAAGCACCTGTTCCAGTACAAAGGCAACTGGATTCAGGTGGAGCGAACCAGGGAGCAGCAGACATTGGACCTGCACATGGGAGTTCCATGGGAAACGGTGACCCTCACAGCATTTGGCAACAATAAGGCTATTTATTTCGACATTTTGGAAGAGGCTAGACACTTGGCTTTGGAAGCCACTGAAGGGAAAACGGTGCTATACACAGCTATGGGTGCGGAATGGAGACCGTTCGGTCATCCTCGAAGGAGGCGTCCCACTGGATCGGTGGTCCTGGATCGTGGAACGTCTGAAAGAGTCATTGCCGACTGTCAGGACTTCATCAAGAGTTCTCTGTGGTACACTCAGCGCGGAATTCCTTACAGGAGGGGATATCTTCTATACGGGCCTCCGGGTTGTGGGAAGTCTAGCTTTATTACTGCATTGGCAGGTAAACTCGAGTACAGCGTTTGTTTGCTTAACTTATCTGAAAGAGGCCTCACCGACGACCGACTCAATCACCTGTTAAACGTGGCACCAGAACAAAGTATCATCCTGCTGGAGGATATTGACGCAGCATTTGTCTCCCGAGAAGCAACTCCACAGCAAAAGTCCGCTTTTGACGGCTTGAACAGGATTACTTTCAGTGGCCTACTAAATTGTTTGGATGGAGTGGGTTCCACAGAAGCCAGAATTGTCTTCATGACAACAAATTATATAGACCGCCTAGATCCCGCCTTAATTCGACCTGGAAGAATAGATTTAAAGGAATACATAGGCTACTGTACGCAGTATCAATTGGAAGAAATGTTTAAAAATTTCTTTGCCAACGGTGACACCACAAAAGCGGAGGAATTCGGAAAACGTGTGGATTCCTTTGGTCGTCCTGCAAGTCCTGCTCAAATTCAGGGCTTTTTCATGAAACATAAGTTATCCTCCCCACAAACAGTTATTGATTCCTGTGAAGACATCTGGGAAAATGTTTTAAGCCCCAATAAAAAAAATAATTGAACCATCGATTTTTTAACTGAACCTCGATAAAATAAGACTGCTGGGTTTCTACATTTCGAAGTCTTTGCTTATAAAAACTTAACATTCAATTAAACTTTCATCTTTAATTTCTGTTTGTAAATGTATGACATTTTTCAATGCCTCATTCTCCTCGGTTCTTTTTCTATGGTTACTTGAAAGGATATTGCCCAATCTAACTCACCTAGAAGAACGACTTCTTTTATATTATGATTTAATTACATTTTTATAGGTAATTTAAAAATATGAACTATGTTCTAAAATATATGTATATTTTATGTGACATTAAATTTGATTAGTCCTTTGATCTTCTGGGCCTTCCAACTTTTCCTTTCCTTTGTCCAAGCGTTCCGTTCGAATTGGCGGGGCCCTTAAGTAATTTGTGCCAATCTTGCTCACACACCAAGCTAGCTCCTAACATAGTATACCTGGAAAGGATTTGTTTTAATATTAATTAGTTATTTTAATAACACTTTATTGAGGAACATACCTATCACCAGGACGCAGACTTGATCCACACTTAGCACAACTAAAGCACCTTAGATGAAATACGCAATTAATTATTTGTTTTTGTTGATTTTGTAAATCGATATTATTTATTCCAGTTAGTGCTTTCGCTACGAGTTCACTTGGAGGTATAGTTTCCCCACATCCAGAACAAACTCCAGAGCATCCGAACATGCTGAAAAATAAGAATATGTTAATTTTAGTTAATTTTACCTATGTAATAAGAACGTTTTTGTTGATACGTCAATTTTTCTTTTATCACATGGTGATGGTGAATTGATATTTTAGTCACTCAGATGCTTTGAGATCTAAAAACTTTAATAAGCTTAAAACAAAAAATAGAATTTTAAGAACGTTTTAGGCGAGAGCTCCGACAGGGAATACCAGCTACTCACGGCTACATAATATATTTTATTTGAAAGGATCTAAAAAAGAGGAAACACGTTAATATTTTATAACAAAAATATTTGCCGATAGTGTCGTTCAAAGTTGTGTAATTTTCTCCGGAACAAAATTGGTCTGTTATTACATCTTAATAGCCTCCAACTTTGTCGCATATTCCTGGCCCATACAGCTCCTGATTTAAAAAGTAAACAAGATCTCCGCATTCAGACCTGTCACAACCATTTCTAAGGTTTTAGTTTAAAATTTAGCAAAAGGAAAGGGAATACCGAAAATCCAGACAGTTTTGATGGTAGGGAAATAGGTCGAAATGAGTTTTAATCGGCAATATCAACCGTAACTAAGCAAAATATTCATAAAGCTATAAGCCTATTCTAAGAAAAGTTAGCAAATAGCTGTTATCTTATAGTCAGGGCTCTCGTTTTTGGTGTTCGTCCTTGTTCATACCTGGAATAGTCCTTTTTGCAGAGAATCAGGCCTCGCCTCGTAAAACAACTGGAACCCACTTCTGCTAGCATCGCTCCACAACAGTGACATTTAAGGCAGCCATTGTGCCAATATCTGTCTAAAGCGTATAAAAGATATCTATCACTTATTTTATCTGAAAGAAATAAAGAAAAAAGAATATGTTAATTATATTATACTTTGAGGCTTGGATGAAAACAACGTAATCTCTTTTAATGTAATAGGTAAAATATTTAGTAAAATTATATTTCTTCTTAGAAAGTATTCTTAAAAAAACTTAAAAAATATCTTACCTCCGCAACCACCACACACTTTAATAAGAGAATTAGAATGGATTAACTGTTGATTATTGAAATCGTTTGAAGATTCGTCCATGAACGATAGCTGAGACGATGAGATATTTGAGTTGGTCTCGACAATGTCCTTTGTGTGGTTTGAGTTTCTATAATCAATTACTATGGGGGCGAAATTTTCAGGACTAGATGAGTCTTGGTGATGTGCCGCTAGTATATCTCTATATGAATGGAACGTTGCATTCATTGCAAATAATGTTGATGACTTAAGTCGTAAAAGGCATATGGGTCCTGTTTATGGTTTAAACCTGAAAAAGGGAAGAAAAATATATTGTAGGACAAAATTATAATTTTGCTTTAATTACATTGAACATTATGAAAGTTAGGTAAAATCTTATGACCTCACCTTTCAAAGCTTGCAAAAATTAAGCTTAATCGTGTAAGAACTCCATAATTGTAGTGAAGTCAAATCATAAACCACAATTTACGATTTTAATATAAATATCTAAAATACAACTGAAATAATATTGTTCGATTAATAATGGTAAAGTTAACAGAAAAGTTGAGTTAATAAAAAAGGTAAAAAGGTCTCAAAAAGACATTTTTGGAAAATGGTTTCAAATATACTTTTTTTAAGCAGTCTTACAGTTTACACCAAGTTGGTAAAAAAGATGATATAAAATGGTATTTCTTTAACCAAGAATTTTCACAAGCATGAAATGAAATATTTATTTTATCAATCAATGACTGACGGAAACGTGCATTTCTTGCAGTTTCTTTTCGATTAGCGATGCGAATAGCTATACACAATCAGCCAAACATGTATTATCATATCTTCTGGAATCCAAATCTGGTTTGAAATTATTTTTGAAACATTGCAGTGTCCACAGCTGTCCTTACATACAAATGTATATATGTATATATACATAAGTAAAACACCCAAATGTACATACACACATTCACACTAAACGCTTGAATACGTATGTACGTATATGTGTGTATTAAAGTGCGGTCTTATGCCGATAGATTAATCAATATTAATTTTGGCAAATGACTTTGCTCATCACGGAGTAATAAACTTGATGTATTAAACTTTAAGTTTGTATTTATTAATACTGATTTGCTGTCAGTCGCGCATTTGAACGAACTTTTGTGTACATATATATGCAGGTATTTATATCATTTAAACACTGTATCAAACATCACGTATGTAAACATTCTCCACAAATTCAACTTACACACTCATGAATTAATTATTAAATAGCGAAAATTTATTTGACGACACCATGAGGAACAGTAAACTCGCTTCGATTTCAAACACCATTTCTTGTATACGACTTTACATACCAAACTAATTCATAGATATGAAAGCAAGCAATCCGCGATTATACAGGGTACACCGTGCACTGCTACATTTTAATCGCTGTTTTCACTTATTCGGCTAGAGTTCGTAAAAAATATCGCAATCAGTGTTGACGCTTGAATATTTTTACCTCAGGTTCGATAACATTACTTTAATTTTAAAATAAATTAAGAAACGTTTTAAAATATTTGTATTCTTAAAATATAAGCTAAACGAAACAATACCGCACCACCGCCATCTTTTTTCAAAAGGAGTATGTACGTGAGCTAGAAAGGGACGCAAAAGGTCGCATCATCAAGAATTACTATAACTTACTTCCCCATAGATCTCCATAAACTTTTCATAAGCGGAATGATTCAAAAGGTTTTGCTGTGCCAAAAATATCCTATCTAGGTATATATTGTGGATTAATAGCCGATGTTTTTTTCATGGATTTTTATGGCATTAAATAAAATAAAAGCATTGAGAATATATCTTTTATATCTTTTAACATTTTGACAACGTTAAAAGGGACCCTACTCAGTGTAATCACGAGTTTCACATCTGTCAACAATCTCGCCCGTTCCATTGTCATGCGCTCTGTGGGATTGGGGTATAACGGACAGCAAATTGTTTGCAGAATTCTTTAAATCTATTTTTTTTAAGTTCATATACGCTTCGAACCATTATACCGAAACAAGTTTGACAGAGAACGAACGGTTTGACGAGACAAGAAAATTCACATTTTACAAAAATCCCAACCATTCCACTACAGATTTTCTTGGTGGGATTAGGGTATAAGCCAAGACTAACATTAATTAATAGATTTGTAATATCATTTAAAATATTTATCTTGGGACGTTAACTTTATAATACTAGGCCCGAGAACCACATCTTTTATACTGTTAAAAATTTTAGCCAAAATTTTGTTGGCCCAGGCACACAATATAGGGGCGTCATTTGCTCTGCCCGCGCTCTCGAGTGACTTTGCCAGTGATGCCACGTAGGGGAAACGGAAAAAAGAGAGTTTTTCATTTGTTCGATCGAACTGGAATCGAGTCCGATTATGAATACTTATTGCTGCACTGGTCGCTCTTATTCCGAAGGATTGTTCCGAGAACTCCCCATACTATTGCTTATGCTTCGCACATGTTAGGGTTGGTGAGAAACCGAAGTTAGCTTCGAACATAGCTCCTAGCAGAGCTTTGGCAGAGGTGCGGGCAGAGCAAATTAAACCTCTATATAGATACTTTCTCTATGCTCTCAGTCTCTCTCAAAGCTGACGAACAGATTCGTCGATCTGAGTACTGCCCGCGCTCTCGAGTGACTTTGCCAGTGATGCCACGTGGCGGAAAAACGGAAAAAAAAGTTTTTCATTTGTTCGATCGAACTTTATTCATAGGGTACGAACATAGAGTAATAATGTATAGAGCCGTCATTTGCTCTGCCCGCGCTCTCGAGTGACTTTGCCAGTGATGCCACGTAGGGGAAAAACGGAAAAAAAGAGAGTTTTGCAAATGTTCGAATCGAGCCTGAATCCATGCCCATGGTGGATTCTTATTGCTGCTCTGGTCGCTCTTATTCCTAAGGATAGGTGCGAGAATTCCCCATACTATTGCTTGTGCTTCGCACATGTTAGAAGTGGTGAGAAACCGAAGTTTGAAGAAGTTAGCTTCGAACATGGCTCTCAGCAGAGCTTTGGCAGAGGCCCGGGCAGAGCAAATGAAACCTCTATATAGTTTCTTACTCTATGGTACGAATCTATATAGAGGCGTCATTTGCTCTACCTGCGCTCTCGAGTGATATTTCCAGAGATGCCACGTAGGGGGAAAACGGAAAAAAAGAGTTTTTCATTTGTTCGATCGAACTGGAATCAAGTCCCGCGGTGAGTTTTTGCAGCTGCACTGGTCGGTCTTATTCCTAAGGATTGTTGCGAGAACTCCCCATACTATTGCTTGTGCTTCGCACATGTTAGGGGT